CCATACTGGCTGATTCAAACACTATGATACTGGCCATACTTGCTGATTCAAACACTATGATACTGGCCATACTGGCTGATTCAAACACTATGATACTGGCCATACTGGCTGATTCAAACACTATGGTATGGTACAATACTTGGAAAAGCTGTATTTTAATGATTAATTAATTAGGCTGATAATTTTCTATGATTACAGATTCAATGTGCTGCAGATCACTGATGATATTAAGGACATTGGTGGCATGAGATGGGAACTTGCTGGATGTCTTCTCTTGGCGTGGGTTATCTGTTATCTCTGTATTTTCAAAGGAGTCAAATCTACTGGCAAAGTGAGTTTATCTTAAAATTAATATGTATGTAATAAATGTTTTACACTTGCGTACTTGGTTATTTTGATTATTGTATTGAATTGAATGTGCAGCATACTTTTAACCCCTTAATTTTGACAGGGACATTTTTTAGCTCCCATGTGAGTGTCTGATTAGTTTTTGGGGCCAGGTCCGTGCATATTAAGTAGCTAATTTGCTTATTAATTATCTCATTTCAGCCAGTGTAAGCAAAATCCCCAAAACTTCAGAAAGGATTTTGATCAAATTTGCTATATACATGTATTGGTGCTGAACATGCTTCTGACTAATGATCTTTCACTGACTGTTGGAATTTTTATTTCCTAGATATGTTTTTAAAAAACAGCAATGATTGTATATACTGGTATTTGTATTTACATGGGAGCTTTGTGGAGTATAACGTTGGTTGTAAATTTTATGAGTCAACGACAATTTGTTAACTTATGAGAATTGAATGGTTTCTGGTACTAGCAGTCCATTAAACACAATTACTAATTGATTTAGAATAGGTACTACAAATGTATCCTTGCAATATGTGAGGTAAACCCTCAATCCTGAAGATTTTGTAAGTCATTTAGATAAAGATAAAGGAATAAACAAAATATTCTTTGCTATGATGTAATTGTTGTTCCGCTTACTGCTGCTTATAATTTAACACTGAGGGCGCTGTTTCTAAAGAAAAATGGTGTGATCCATAATATGGATTATTCTAATAAATGTTGTCTAAACTTCAAATAGATATTGTCAATATTGGTTAATGAAACCAAAATTATTATACTGAAATTTTTGGTTATTAACAAATAGACTGCTGAAACCTCTTTCAATATTCAAAATTATTGAGAAGAAAATGTGCCAGCAGATGTGTTAAAATCATAAAATCTTTAGCACTCACATTTATTCGTTCTTTCCTTTTTAGGTTGTATATTTCACAGCTACATTCCCATACATAATGATTACTATCTTGTTAGTGAGAGGAGTTACTTTACCCGGTGCTGTGGATGGAATCAAATTCTATTTGATACCAAAATGGGAACGTCTCCTTGATGGAAAGGTATCAGGTTTTTGTTTTTTTTCGTAATGATTGAATGATGTCAAACTTTATGTATTTACTGGAAGTTTCATGTTGCTAAACACTGTCTATTGCTTTGTCCAAAATCTAAAACTGAAAGAAAAACATTACTCAGCAATATCAAAATTCCATCAAAAATAAGACAGAAATTTAGTTCTCAAGTTACATTGTTAAAAATATATATATTATAATAGAACACTAATATTTGTATTTAATATGTACATTTATTTATTAGTCTCTGTGCATCCATGTATTAATTGAACTGTCCTTTTATCACATGCTGTATTTCTGACATCTCTAGAACATTTCTCTTCAAACGTCACACATAGTTAATACTCTATCTTGTACATATGCATGTGCAGTGAGTTGTAAAACTGCACGAAAATCAGTTATTATGATGTGTTTTTCAAACTTGATGGAAGGATTAACTATTACGCATGTTACTTTGATTTGTAAATTGAACTTAAGATGGCTGACTGCTGGCCACTTTCTTTTTGACAAATTCTATCACAGAAAGATATATCATGTAAATGCTTTATACAATTAACTACTTTATATATTTACATGTACATATTTTTTTAATTTTATTATGTTTTCATTTTGTCTTCATTTGTATTTTGTCTTGCCATTTTGTATGTATCTGAAAATTTATTGTTTTGAAAATCCAGATCCTGAACAGGATATGATTTCAATAAAGGCATTATTATTATTGTAATTACATCATTGCATACAAATCACATACAGTAATGTTGTCATCCAATCAAAGATGACCAATTGCTGACTGTTTTAGGTATGAAAAAACATGCACTTACAGGTGAAAATAGAATTCCAAATGCTCCAAATTCCAAAGGTCTATGTTTTCATGGTCAAATTTTAGGTGTAGGTCACAATATGTGGGGGGAATAAGCTGCTAATAAGCTCTCTGAGGGCTTCTAGTATTATATATATTATCATCGTATAGACATGCACATTATAATAGTTGATGATGTTTATAAAAAATATGGTACAATAGTTTTAGACATTTTAGATAATGAACAACTTTCTTAGCCCACTACCAACCTAACCTTAGGCAAACAGGTACATGGGATAGCATGGATGAGTACTTTATTTTACTAGATTCATGTTGTGAATTGAAGTATACTTCTGTTACATTTCTCTGATGCTTTTGAATGATGACATCTTTTCAGAATAATTCATATGGTCTTAGTCATTATTGGTGAAGCTGACATGTGTTAATTTGTTACCCATCCTATGCTATGCTATCCTATTGTACTATGCTGAAATGTATAATTCTCTTTCCTAGGTATGGATTGACGCTGGTACACAGATCTTCTTTTCTTATGCTGTGGGACTGGGTGCATTAACTGCATTGGGTAGTTATAATAAATT